CACGACTTGAGAAAATTGTAGAATCAAATCATGGACGTCAAAGTATACAATTGGTCTAGAATGGTCGATATTGGTTCGTCATTTAAATTTCAGAAGTTACGCTTATTTTCGGTCAGGCCAGAAGAGATAGAAAAGTTTGATTGTACTCATAATATCACCAACCAAAATTATATATTCATACCCCCAAAGTTGCATGAACGTAAAGTTTAGTGCTCGTTTAGAACCCCGTCGGCGTCTTAGTTGTGCATAGGGAAGAGCCAAAAAAATTGAAGACACACAAGAAGCTGTAACGGGTGGTCGCTTTAGACTTAGAAAGAAGTATATTTTTTTGATTTCATAGTTTGGTCAACATAGGAAAATTTACACATATACCGCTTGATAGCGAACAAAAACGAAATTACGTCTGGAAATAAAAGGCGATAACACTACCATACGTAGTACAAAAAGGTGTCTAGACTTTTATCTTTCGAGATAAGCGAGCATTCGTTAGACAGTAGGTGCGGAGGTTTTGGGTAGACTAGTTTGAACCTTCAGAGAGTAGGTACGTACTCACGTATTATTTTAGGTGTGAGAATTTTAGTATATCGTATATTGTGATATTTTTTCGTATCTAATTTCGCGAACAGTTAGTTACTATTTTTAAGTTTGTTTTTAAATATTGTACTGCAACATTGTATTATACCTTTTTTCTTCTCAAACTGAAGCTCGAGTCTGTAGGGCAATAAAATCTCAGCTGTGCCAGGTGGCTGACGGAGAACGTTTAATCCAACAGCGGTAAGGTATTGTCGGTTTTTATTTTGAGCGGAATCTTCTAATCAAGGACGACACTGCTATTTTCTTCAAACGCGCCGTTAAGAAACCCTGGTGACAAGGTGCGAGGAGCCATCTTGATTTGTAGCAAAGCGATTCATTTACAAATGATAAAAATTTACGCGAGGGAACATTTTCAATTGGGAAACGAGCTCTTCACATAGAAAGAGAATTAAATGTACTGTATTTAAAAACTCTTTGCGATAAACGAAGATTTTTTCTTCGTTTGCACCGCTTACGGTTACAGCTGGTTAGGAGCTATTTTATAAAAGTTGCGTAAAACGATTTTGTAGTGCTTTGTGCAATAAATAATGTTTTGTACACAACGTCATTTGGTAGGAAAGTTAAAGTGACAATTATTTGTTACATTTACTCACACCACAAACACTTAATTAATTGGCCAAAATTTTAATACGAACACAACGGAACATTGGCGTTTTATTCCAGTGCACAATTGACCATTGCAGGGATATATTTCCATATTCTAAAAAAGGGCGCACTTCTCCGGAGAGAGAGAGAGAGGCAAAGAAAGATTTTTTGCTTCGTATTCAAGGTGTACGTGTATTTTGAACAAGAACATGTACCGGTAAATTATTATGTGGTAAAGATAAAACCTCTATATAAGAGTCAAATTTAGCAGAGACACGGGATCACGAAATAGGCACCCCCGTAGCGCAACCTGTGCGCATCCCCGGGCAATTTTGAGGGAGACTCGTCGACCGCAAAAACCCCACTTCCGAGCAATTTCTGGGCACGGTTAATTTTTCACCCTTCAGCGCCTCGCCTATTTAGCTCCGGGTAAGTTTGAGGGTATATCTGGACTTGGCAACAACGAAAATCCCCGAGTAGCGATTTCCAAGCGATTTCTCCAGCTTTTCAGATGGACGAGAAAAATGAAGAAAAAAGTAAATTTTTTGCAAAACAGTTTGTATCAAAATGCGGTTTTCGGCATAGTGTTAAGAAAAATACGAATACATAAAAGTCAGGAAAATGACACATTACTGGCGAGAAAATACGGAAGTACGAGGCCCCCTTGGGCCGAGTACTTTAATTTACGAGTTAGGACATGTCATTTTACTAACGAGTTTTGTGTTAAATTTTACTGGAAATAATAATAATAATACTAATAATAATACGCATTTATTCTCCTTAAGTTTGTATTTTGCATTATATTTTTTAATATAAAATTTCAATTGTTATATAGAACTTTTGATTAACGATAAATGTCAATATGTCAGTGATGAGTCATTATAGACATTTAGCAATGTCACAGATGCGACCGGTAAAGTTACGGTGCGGCGGCTTGTTTATCAGCATAAGGGCCGATTTATAATCTTTGTCGGCCGCGTTCGCGCTGGCAGTTCGTAGTTCATCGAAGATATTGACCAATGGAAAAAGAGTACCCATTTGGCGCGCCAATTAGTGTCAAAGTCAAACTGTCAAAGTTGCTCGTTTTGGCGTGTGAAGTGTATTAATATCATTTATGTCTTACTAACCTATCATAGCACATTTTATATCTGTGATACGCGGGCATAAAGTACCACTTTATGCCCTAGGGCATTAAGTATCACCATAGTAACTCATTAATACTTAATGACAAAACTAACAAATATTTGCAGGTCATTGAAAATTACAAACGTCAATTATTAATTGTCAATACCTTATACTAAATCACAAGATTGGCCTTATTTCGTATAGTTTCTGGAACTTCTTGCTCATTCACGATGAATTGAATTATTTAAAATTACGTTTGACGTTTGGATGGTTTCAATCACATTAACAAATTCGAACCACGCATACTCGATCAAACATAATGAATTATTTTGTAAACGAATTTTGACGAAGAAAACTATTTGTAAAACATAAAATTGTGTATGTACCACGGGCATAAACTGATGTTTATACTCTCGGGCGACTAAAAAGCTCTCGGGCCATAGGCCCTCGAGCTTTTTAACTCGTCGCCCTCGAGAATATAAACATCACTATTATGCCCTTAATACATAAATAACTATTATAAGTCTTTTATCTCATCATCATAAATCTTTCACAGAAATAATTCTTGTCCCTTTCATGAACAAACTGTAAACTAAACATATCTTAACCGAAATATGCTCTGCAACGATGGACGCGAACGCCGACGCGAACGTAAAGTTTATAAATCGGCCTTAACTATTTGTGTTTTGTCAACATTGATTACATTTTTATATTGCTTTTGTCCTATGACCTTACATTAATGTATTTTGGCATTCTCAAATTGCACAAATTGTTAGTTGTGAACTGTATAAATTCATAACGATTCAAGTAATGAAAGCAATCCTCATTCTTTTGCAAGGAGTTTTCTACGTTATTTTTGCCTTGTATGTTCCCTGGTTCGTATTGATATTATGCTTTTATGTTTTGTCTAATTTCTCTTCCGTAACATGTTCCGTAATATGTTTGGTATAAATTTTAATTTATTGATTGCATGGTCTTGGTCTGATTTATCTAATTTAAGGTTATTCGATTAAATATTTAAATATGTGTGAATTGTTTCATTTTCTCAGTGAATGGGGTGACCACGGGGTGGCAATAACTGTAGGCACTTCTAGTTACGACAGCTAATTCCGGGACCAACCTCGACTCTCAACTGTAGGCTTGAATTTCCTGAACGAAGAGTAAATTGCCTATCTCGGGGGCCAGATTCTACTAACAAAAAGTCTTCGGTTTAGAATCTGTGTGCAATATATCAGTTGCGATTCACTGATTTCCACATATTTTGTTACTTTGGTTTGAGTAGCAAGACCATGTAATTTCCCATCCAGTTTCTCACAAAATTTTATTACACGAAAGATGATACACATCTTGTGTACTTTGGGATTTTCTTGCTTTGCGTTAACGTACATAATGCGTTTTATTTTGTGTTCCTTCCCTGCCGTACTCCAGGTCATAGCGTCAATATTTGTAACTGAAGAGGAACATAATCGTGCAAGTACTTCCACTTGTATTTAAATTATTTTCATAATCCAAACAAAAAATACGTAATTCGAATGCAAATGTGTACCTACTACGTAAACTTAACCATAGTTTAATTTAAATCCGCGCGTTCTTTCGTAAAACGTGATCCTACGAATCATGATCTTGAAATCATGATCGCGCCTATGGAAATTCAGGTGGCCATTTTTTTTTATGTTGCCGGGTTGATTTTATTTCCGTGATATTGTAGTGTGAACTTAGCATAGAACCTGGGGGTTAGGTACACAACCGGCTTTGTGGTTCAATTGTAGAACGTTGGGGTATAAAGTCGGAGGTCGGGTGTTCGAACCTGGGCTGAGTTAAGAATTTTTTATCTGTGGCAGAGATGGAAATTTCCTTAGATCAGTTTCGAGGATTCTGCCGGCTACTCCGAATTAGGTTTTCCTGCAATTTTTCTAGTTCGTAAGATACGTACCGGAGTAGTATAGACTGTAGAACAACTTAAGACCTTCTGCAGAGGCACCTCTAGCAGAGCTGTGCAATCAAATCCACAATACGCCCCTGTCCACTGTTCATGTAGCGAAGGTTGGCAAACATAAATTGAGAACCCTTAATATTTGATGATAGCATTAAAAAAGTACACAGCCAGGATTAACAAAACTCGAAATAATCGTATAATTTGACGTACTTGCTCTAATTTTAGGAAAATTGCCACGTTATAAAGGCGGATTTGTCACGCGCAAACAGTGTGTAAATGGCGTAAAAAAGTAATTAAATACCTTCATTACTTCTGTGGTGCTTTTAGTTTTTAGATGAACATTAGTGGTTTCCATCCAATACCCTATTTTTTGCCTTCTTATTTAAACTGATCCTCAATTGCACCATAATTGTTCGCAATTAAGTACTTGCGCGGCTACTTAATATAATTAAAGTATTATCGTTGAGTGAAGTACTCAATGGTATTATGTAATTTCCCCAAAGGTTGACAAGGACTGTTAGCTAGCATAGGTTGCCAAACAACTGTACGCCACAAAAGTTTAAAGTGCTGTAAATTGCTTATAGTAGGATCGGTGTAATCCAAGATAACGTAATTCAATATATAATCCCGTGATTTAGATTCGGTTTACCACATCTTCGCGATAATGCCTGTAGAAAGCAACCAAGCAAGTGCTCCCCTTGAAAATGAAATTGTTATATCCGGTATATCGGGGCGTTTTCCAGAATGCGATACTGTCGAAGAGCTCAAGCAAAAACTGTTGGATGGTGTCGATATGGTGACGTCAGATGAAACAAGATGGCCTGCCAAACTGCACGGGCTTCCGGCACGTATGGGAAAGCTGAAAACCTTAGATCAATTTGATGCCGCGTTCTTTGGAATACATTCAAAACAAGCTCATGTCTTGGACCCCCAGTCTCGGATTCTTTTGGAAGTTACTTATGAAGCAATCGTGGACGCCGGATACAATCCATCTGAATTGAAAGGGAATCGAGTTGGAGTATTCGTAGGTGTGAATGGAAGTGACACTGGCGCATACTGGAGACATAGTCCTGATACAGTCAGTGCATATTGTGCGACGGGTGTGGAAAGAACCATGCTTGCCAACCGAATTTCGTACTTTTTTGACTTTATCGGGCCCAGTATGTGCATCGATACGGCTTGCTCTAGCAGTATGATGGCATTTCAGAGAGCATTCGCTTCAATTAGAGCTGGTGAATGCGATGCTGCAGTGGTTGGCGGTTCCAATGTTTGCCTACAACCTACAATGTCTCTTCAGTACCATCGACTAAATATGCTAAGCGAGGAAGGGAAGTGTAAAGCGTTTGATCAGTCTGGTAACGGATTTGTACGTGCAGAAGCGATCAGTGCCATATTTTTGCAAAGGGCGAAAAATGCGCGCCGAATATATGCGACTATTTTAGGAGCAAAGTCTAACACCGACGGTTACAAGGAGCAAGGAATTACGTTCCCGTCGTGTAAATTGCAAAGAAAACTAATGGAAGAAGTATATAATGAATTCGGGATTAACCCAGTGAGTGTGTCTTTTGTTGAAGCACACGGTACGGGGACTCAAGCAGGGGACCCTCAAGAGTTAAACGCAATAGCAGAAGTACTTTGCAAAAATCGTAAAGAACCGCTCTCCATAGGGTCTATTAAAAGTAATTTGGGCCACTCTGAGTCTGCATCGGGAGTATGCGGTATAGCGAAGGCTATTATTGCAATGGAATGCGGAATTTTACCAAGGAACCTTCACTTCACTTCTCCAAATACCCAAATTGCCGCATTGAGTGACGGAAGACTTGAGGTATGCGATGCTTTAAACACGCTACTATTAAAGTATTGCGTTTCAGGTGGTTGCCCAAAATAAGAATTGGAGCGGAGGGATAATTGGGATCAACTCCTTCGGATTTGGGGGGGCAAATATTCACGTCGTACTACGTTCTAATCCAAAAAGCAAGAAAGTCGCGGCTCCCGTAACGATACCTCGTCTGGTGACGGTTTCAGGTCGAACACATGATTCTGTTTGTAAGCTATTGGATGGAGTGGAGCAAAACAAGCATGACACTGAACTTATGGCACTGCTTAACAGCGTGCACTCGCATAATATAACTGGCCACGGCTTCCGAGGTTACCGTCTTCTAGGCAAGGAACTTGCACCAGAAATCGCAAATGTTACATCTGAGAAACGACCCATTTGGTACGTTTACACCGGTGTCGGATGTCAGTGGCCCCACATGGCTAAAGACATGATGAAATTTGAAGAGTTCCGAAATTCTATTAGAGAATGCGCTGCAATTTTGAAACCATACGGTGTAGATGTGGAAGACCTTGTTTTGAATAGCAGCGCTACTAGTTTGGAAAATGTTGTAAATTCTTTAGTGGCTATTAATGCTGTACAAATTGCTTTAACTGATTTCTTAAGTACATTAGGAATTAAACCAGATGGCTTCGTAGGTCATTCGGCAGGAGAACTTGGCAAGTACTTTCTACCTGTTTCTCAGTTAATTAATGATTTCCAGCATGTGCCTACGCGGATCAAGGTTTAACCCGTGAGCAAACAATAAAGTCGGCTTACCAACGCGGTGTGGCTCTTCTCGAAAATAATTTGCCGAAAGGAAAAATGGCCGCTGTAGGTTTGTCATTGGAAGAGTGTCAAAAGCGTTGCCCACCAGGAATTGGGATCGGATGTCACAATAGTAAAGACAACGTGACCATAACGGGTCCGGAAAATCTAGTTGATGATTTTGTTGCCAAGTTAACCGCCGACGGAATCTTTTCCAGAACAGTACCGAGTGCCGGTTTAGCATTTCATAGCAACTACATTGCAAATGCTGTACCTGCTCTACAAAAAGCTTTTGATGAAATCATCCCACATCCAAAACCACGTAGTTCCAAGTGGATTTCTTCGTCATTTCCAGAGTCCGCATGGGATACTCTCGGTGGAAAGCTTTGTTCAGCCGAGTACCATATCACTAACGTAATTGCACCGGTCTTATTTTACGAGGCGATTCAACACATTCCTAAGAACGCTATTGTAATTGAAATTGCCCCGCATGGTCTACTGCAAGCCATACTAAAGAGAACGCTTCATTCTGAATGCACAAACATCAGCCTTGTTAGTAGAGCCGCTTCGAATAATGTAGATTTCTTCTTATCGGCGATTGGAAAGTACGCCTTGATCTTTTATGAGTGTTTCCAACACGTTATTTTGTAGGATATTCAACGCTGGCGCCCAACCTCAAATTGCACGAATGTATCCACCGGTACAATATCCAGTTGGTCGCGGTACCACAATGATTAACTCATTGGTGGAGTGGGACCACTCAGAGAAATGGACGGTTGTCAACTTTGCGGAACAAAGTTCAATGTCGGGAGAATGTAAATATAACGTAGACCTTACAAAGGAACTCGACCAATTTCTAACCGGTCACAAACTTCATGGGAAAATTGTGTTTCCAGTAGCAGGATACCTAGTAAGTACACTGACTTATTTTATCGCCATGATTTGATTGAGGTATGTCCAGATTATGGCTTGGAAAACACTGGCTAAACTACGAAATGAAGATTTTGAGCAGATGCCAGTTGTCATGGAAGAAGTGCAATTTAAGCGAGGGACTAAAATATCGATGGACGCAGTTGTTAAATTTTCGATCAATATTCTGGAGAGTTCTGGCGAATTTGAAATTTGCGAGGGGGGATCTTCGGTTGTGTCAGGAAAGATCTTTGTACCTCGTGATGTTTCAAAGGAATTCGTTCCCGTTCCTCAAGCTCCCATCAAAGCTGAGACTGATCTGCTTCAACTAACCACTGACGATATTTACAAGGAACTCAGATTCCGAGGATACGACTATGAGGGCCCCTTTCGATTAATAGAATCCTCGGACAACCGCTTCGTGAATGGCATAGTTAAACGCCAAAGCAACTGGGTCACTGATCTAGACGCACTTTTTCAATTTACAAGTTTAGGTCAGAAAGCTAGAGATCTTTACGTGCCCACACGAATTCGGCGAGTTGTCATAAATCCGACCTTGCATCGTGCTTCAAATAATAGTAAGCGTTTTGTTTTACCGCCATTTTAGTGTAATTGCATTGCTATCATTAGGCGTTCCGATATCGATGTTTCCCAAAACTGGCGTCGCTCATTGCGGGGGTTTTCAAGTGCACCAAATCAAATGGAGCATTTCACGCAAACCTTTGGATTTAGTTCCCCCTAAGCTAGAAAGATACAAGTTCGTACCATACGATGATGTTATCCTCCCCAGGGAACATGCGCTAACGGTACTCACTCAGATTGTCTTGGAAAATACGGATGCTCTTAAATTGAGAGTCATAGAAATGTTGCAAGATACGAACAAAGTTAAAACTTTTCACATCAAAGAAGCTATAGAGGCCGAACCCAAATTATCAGTAGATTACGCTGTAATCAAATTGATAGAAACCAACCTAGCCGAATTTGAAACAGAACAAGTTCAGGTACTACCAAGAGAAATGTTAGATCAATTTAAAGCAAACGTTCACCTGGTTGTCATGAAAGATGTCCAGTCGCCTGGAAATTTAGGCCTCACGAAAAGTGCGTGCGCTGCATTGAAACCGGGTGGATTTATTCTAAGTGAAGAACAGGAATTGAGTGATATCGTGATCTTGCAATCGCTTGGATTGAAGGCTGTAGCCACTCACTGTGCGGATATGACAAATTTCGTATTACTGCGAAAACCACTCGAAATTCAACGGGATTTGCTCGTACTTAAAATTACTGAAAAGAATTATAAGTGGGTAACACCCTTAGCCCAGGCGCTTAAAAAATCTGCAACAGATGGAACTAAAATATTCTTAGTCAGTCAAGGTGATGAGTTCAGTGGGTTGGTAGGACTAGTGAATTGTTTGAAGAAGGAACCGGGAGGAATGAATGTACGTGCCTACTACATACCCAAAGAAACAAAAGAAACCTTCTCGCTGTCTTCCGCATATTATCAAAATCAGATTGAGAAAGATTTAATTCACAACGTTCTGAAATACGAAATGTGGGGATCGTACCGTCACCTACTTCTAGACCGAAACATTGTCGCCTCGAATCACGCTTACATTAATATAGACACGAAAGGCGATCTGACCACTTTAAGATGGGTGGAAGGTCCACATCACAGGTACGATTTAATATGCAATTTTGCTAATCGCGTGCAACTATTTCAGCCCTGAAGATACATCCGACCTATGCTCGGTGTACTACGCGTCAGTCAATTTTAGGGATGTAATGCTGGCAACCGGACATTTACCTTCTGACGCTGTGCCTGGTGAGTATGGCACCCATGAGTGCTTGATGGGTTTGGAGTTTTCCGGGCGAGATAGCAAAGGCAGAAGGGTTATGGGACTTGTCGAGTCGCGTGGTTTGGCCCTGACCTGTATTGCTCAACCACATTTACTATGGGAAGTTCCAAAGCAATGGACCCTTGAAGAGGCGGCCACGGTTCCTTTAGTTTACGGAACAGTGAGTCTTAGTGGTGAATATACCGTTTATTGTAACAAATTTCTAGGCGTACTACGCACTAATAATTCGAGGGCAACTTCAACCGGGAGACTCGATACTTATACACTCAGGTGCTGGAGGTGTGGGACAAGCGGCTATATCAGTTGCACTCAGCATGGGTTGTACCGTATTCACGACAGTTGGCAACCAATCAAAACGTACTTTTTTAAAGCAGACATTTCCACAATTGCGCGACGAACACATCGGCAATTCACGCGACGCAAGCTTCGAGCAGTTAATCCTAAACGAAACTGACGGCCGCGGCGTTGATGTGGTCTTAAACTCGCTCGCGGGAGACCTACTCCAAGCATCGGTGCGCTGCCTTGCATGGGGAGGTCGTTTTTTGGAAATTGGAAAGGTCGACTTATTCGACAATTCACTTTTGGGAATGAGCGTATTTTTGAAAAACACCACGTTCCATGGGATTCTGTTTGACGTGATGATTGAAAAGAATAATTACCACACCCCTCGCATAGTTCAGTTGGTTAGCGACGGAATAGCCAGCGGAGTAGTTCGACCACTGTCGTCAACGGTTTTCGGAGAAGATCAAGCAGAGGAAGCCTTTCGATTCATGGCCTCTGGAAAACATATCGGAAAAATCCTACTGAAAATCAGAACCGAGGAGGATCAGAGCGTTTGTATTCCGCGCCCAACAGTTACAAATTGCGTTGCTCACAACTACATGCATCCAAAGAAGAGTTACGTCGTCGTAGGTGGACTTGGCGGCTTTGGTTTGGAATTGACAACCTGGTTAATACTCAGAGGAGCGACTAAGATAGTGTTATGCTGTCATAACGGTGTTACAACGGGATACCAATCGTTGTGTATCAGACGATGGCGCGAGGATGGTGCAACAATTGCGATTTCTCAAACTGACGTCACTTCCGAGCATGGCGTCTCCGAACTTTTCAAGGAGGCACTTCACCACGGCCCCATTGGTGGCGTATTCAATTTAGCCGAAGTTCTCGAAGATGCCCAAACGATAAATTTGTCCGCGGAAGATTTCGAGGCAGTATGCCAACCAAAAATACAAGGTACCAAAAATTTGGATGCCGCAACGCGATCTTTAGCACCAAATTTGGACCATTTTGTTGTGTTTTCATCAATATCTTGTGGTCGAGGTGGTATGGGGCAAGCGAACAATGGATTCGCCAATTCCGCAATGGAACGGATATGTGAATCTCGTCAAGCCGACGGTTTCCCAGGCTTGGCCATTCAGTGGGGCACCGTTGATGACGTCGGCATTGCAAAGAAAGTCGATGAAGTGTCCTTAGCTTTGGGAATAATTCCACAGCGTATAAGATCGTGTTTGAATACCATGGATGTTTTCATTAATCAACCACACGCTATTGTGGCTAGCATGGTTTTAGGAAAAAGCGTTAAAGTAGAGAAAGAGATTGGTATGGCAGACGTTGTCGCAAACATACTAGGCCTTAAAGACTTCAAGACTGTATCACCCACAATGGTATTTTCCGACTTTGGAATGGACTCGCTTATGGTTTCTGAAATAAAGCAAACTTTAGAAGAAAACTACGACATACATTTAACTGTGGATGGGGTTCGTAGCCTTACATTCGAACGGTTATCACTATTGAGTATCGCTAAATGAAGATTCGCAGGTTATATTTAAATTATTTAATTAAATAATTACTTCATATCCACAAATTGAATCAGATGTAATAACCCCCAGCTCGCCTCTAAAACGGCTGCGAAGCTACTGTTTATCACAGCCAAATTACATGTAATAATAACATATACTTGTTTTTATGTCCTGTTTCTTCCCAGAATTTAGCTAACTAGGAAGCGGACGAGTAGTTAATAAAGTTCGAATCTCACAATACTGGAGTCTTTTCATTTAACATTCATTAATTGATTAAATGCATAATAATTTGCACGTAGCATTTATAAAGTGCATATCACAATGTTCATTAGGTACTTTATTTAAGCTTTTGCAAAATTGTTTCCGGTCAACGTTAATGTTACCCTTGGGAAATTGTGCGTTCGGCAAACGTTAATTATTTATAATTTGAAGCAAGTTTACCAAAATATGCGAGCAGCTAGCGTAAAATGTATTTAATTTACGTGAAGGATTAATTCGTCTTGCTTGCCTCTTTGAATTCAGCGGCTGATAAGCAAGACCTTCTGTGCCAACCATTAACATACTGTGAAAATCCACCCTTTTGAAGGTGTAATTACAGGTAGTAACCATTTTACTCTTTCTTGTACCTACTATCATCGAATTTCTTGCCACAATTTGATATTACTTACATTTTGCTGATTTTGCATAAACTACGATATCTGAATCATGGCGTACGCCATGCCTTTGTTTTGAGTGCCGTTAGATGAATCTTGTTTGTTATACTGTACAGATGAAGATGCTATTATTTTGTTTTATTAAGTTTTTATTTCTGTATTCACGAGGAGTTGATTACCAGTGCAATGTTGCTCTGTCCGATTGAATAGTAATTATTTCGTGAGGGAACTACCTAATACAGTTTGATTGTTCGCTGTATCTGTTTCTTTCTGATGCGTGGCGCGCTGCAGTTCTTGTGCTTTAGGTATACGTAGGGTTGCTCTCTTATTTGATGTTTCGATGTTTGTGTGTGCGAGTGGTTCATTCTGTCTCCATGGAGTAGGTACCTAATACAGTTCGATCTTTCGCTGTATCTGTTGCCTACTTGTCTCGGGCGGATTGCAGTGCTTAGCATCTTAGCAATACGAGTAGGGGCCCTCTCATTAACATCTCCACTATTTAAAATTTGTTCTGCCCGAGCGATAATCGATTTTCACAAGAATACTTGCTATTGGCCATTGGCAATCTCACATGTACTTTTCGTGTTAAATTAAATTATGTTAACGGAAGGCTGGAGTAGAGCCACACCATTTTTCTTATTTTCTCTTGCATTTTATTGCTGTAGGTGATTTATTTCATGTATTTGTGTGGCCTATGCCGGGGTTTTTGTCCCGTAGAAGGTTTCCCTGGCATGGTCTAGTTGTGTGCGTAATATGTTTATTTGTTCTTGTCATTTCTTACGCACAAAAGTTCATTCGTGTCACCCATATCGAGCCGACTTCCATCCAAATTCAAAAGTGCCGCGAAACGTCCATCGTGTCGACTTGAAAGGTAGGTGGCTCTGCTCGTAGTTTTTTCCCAGAGTTGCCAATGGTAAGTATAGGGTAAGCCAACAGTTTCAGTGTCGGCCAACTAATACACTTCTACACGACTCACGACTTAATTAATTTAATAGAACGCTAAAAACACGGATGTGGCGGTACTTTACGTATTCTAAATCACTCATATCATTCAAGAATAAAAATGGCTCCAATAAATGTTATGATAAAAATATTTTGCAGGTGTGGGTGAATCTATATAAGAAAGGTTTAGGTGTGGAACGCAATCTAAAATACGGGGTAGGGGAACACGTACGGATAGCCAAAAGCAAGTATCAATTTGAAAAAGGTTACGAATCCAACCAGAGTCAAGAAGTCTTTCCTATAAATAAAGTTATAAGACGTCGACCACCTATTTATATGTAAGTTCATTTAAAGGACGGCGAGGTAGAGGGTACATATTACAAAAAGGAAATGCGTTGACGAAACTTGGAGCTTTGAGTTTAAAGTTATACTTGAAAAATCTCGACTAACCAAGATGTCAGTGTGTCCATATCAGTAATGTTATTTAAATCAAGCCGCGTTACTGGTATCGGTACAATTTATAGAGGTGCTATCAAAGAGGTCACGGTATGGGTAGTTCGTTGGACGGTATATTTAGAAGTATTTGCCTTTATTCAAGTCTGGGGCCTGGGCAAGCATTTTGGGCAATGTCATTGAGAATCTTTTGAAGATAGAATTCAAGAGGCCGGTCGGAATTTGAAATGAAAAGCTGACGAAAAAATTAATACACTAATACAAGGTTCTGGTTATAAGATCCTTCATTGCGAATAGTGATCAATCTCTTTCGGGTCCCGCCGATACTAGCATTCCAACGAGAAACAAAAAACCAACAATTACAACTAAAAAGAAGAAATCCAAATCATGGCGTTTCTTCACGCCCAGTCATGCGAAGGCATCAAATCGTAATTGGACTTGTTTGTTTTGCCCTATACGCAGACAGGTTTCGAGAGCGGTGATACAAACCGTTGTCTTCGTTGAGCGACGACACTCCGTTAGAGTTTACCGTGCCTGGAAACGTAAACTGAGTCAAACCATGTTGTAAGTCACGGCAAAGGTCATTAAGCAGGATGATAGTAAGCTAGGTGATACGGATATCGTTGCGCCCATCATACACAAAATGGCGCACTCAATCACAACGCAACACTGTGGCGTCTGAAAAAAAAGAGTGGGGATGGGTGAGTCTGTACTGCTTAGAAAGAATGAACTGAACTATTTTTTCGGCACTGGTGTCCTCCATAGTTGACGAAACACGGTGGGATTATGTCATCTCTATATGGTTAAATGAGGAATGATACTATAGTATATTGAAAGACAAGTGTTACAATGCGACCTATTGTAATACGACTATCTTGTGGCACGAGTGGCGTAGGGAAGCGGAGCCACGAGTGTCCACAAGATAGGAGTATTACAATAAAGCATTGTAATACGTGTTTTTCATACTATTTTTTCTATTTCGGGGCTTTAATTTAATTAAAAAGTAATTATGAAAAACTAGAGGAAACTTTAGAATTAATATGTCTTAAGTTGGCAACACCATTTACGTTGACAAATTTTAAGTTGACAGCGTAGATAAACACAACACTGACATTTGAAACATTAAATTCCGTGAATGTGTAATTTTTTATTCGTAGATACATTTATTTATGGTGGATGTGTAAACTGCTGATTTGGAATGTATTAAGTTCTTCGTGTACCAAAAATAAAGGAAAACATAAATTTTACGTAATTTGATTTCACATCTGATGATTTGACGTTGACGTCTTGGCGAACTGCCAACTTAGAGATGAAAAGTTACCAAAAACAATGTTACAATGGAACTCCTCATTGAAACCAGAGACTTGTTATAACTAGACCGCGCGTAACGTAGATTTTACTATAAACGCCTGTTGTCAAGATAGGATAGGCAACCAACTGTTCATCGCGGGGCAGACGTACGTTCTGCAGCTTGCTTTGGCCATGTTTATTCTAAATTTTAGTAGCAAAAAAAGATAACATATAGCTGTTAACTGTTTTAATGGAATTTATTAGTATTTTATTTGAACTAAATTGGTATATAACTGCCTTACTCTAGTCCTAATTTGATTTATATGTGTATTTTGGTCGTGAACACGTATAGGAAAATATACTCTTAAAACTAAACTTGTAAGTAGTAAGATATGATTATTTATCGGATTTTGATTCAATATATTCCTACCCAAAAACCCAAATGGGCTGTAACTGTTATTTGTTTTTCTTAGACTGCTGATAACCATAACCATTTGAATGAAAAACCTGAACACATTTTCAGCAATTTGGCAAATTTTTAATGCATCGCTTGATACGTGCAACAATCCTTCACGATTTTTTCTAGTTAAAAGCTTTGACTGACTCTCCGATCCGAATATCGCATCTGCGCTTGCACATATGGAACATAGACTTAGCTATTTTTCTTGTAAGAAAACACCTAATAGGCAAATAGGTACTGCTGTTGTCTTGCTGGTAAAGGATGTCGAATAATAGTTCTACGTTATTTTAACTGAATGGGAAAGTCGAAAACGTTCGGTATTGCATTATTGTTTAACACCTTTGTCGGTACCTTTCTAAAATCGGCTTCATTCCCCGCAAATGCACTATGGTGGGAGTACATTTTTCTCTTCGAATGGCTCTGATCCATTGGCCCTTTAAACTTTTATCCGTTGAAAATCAGCATATTATTTAAAAATTTATCGACAGAGTACATGTTGATAGGCACGAGTTAACCTAAGTTTATTGGTTTATTCTCAACAGAAATTTATCTATTCACTAATTCGAGCTAATCACAAGAATTATTAATGGACGGAACATCTAAAATAACAGCTTATTTCATTATATTGCACATCATCTTAGCGATTTTTGCCCCGCAGTGCATTGTGTGTTGCATACTGTGTCGACAACACCTTAGATACGTTAAGCGCAGTCTAGTTATAACAAGTCTCTGATTGAAACACTGTTTTTGCCGAAAACAGTTGCACAAAATTCTCATTGTAACACCGAAATAGAAAAAGAATTTTATTCATATCGCTTTCAACGTATTTTTTTACTGCGCTCGGTTTATCGCCCCATAGTTTGTGAAACTTTAATCTAACTCCAACTTAAAAATAAAAAAATACATGTGCGACAGAAAACATTTTGAGTATATCTGTTCATACGAAACAAAGCCACAGGTTACCTCCACGTCCACTAACATCACGAATAGGGGAAGTGTTTCTGTGTATAAAAACTAAAATCGTAAACATCGTAATTAATTAACAACCCTCCAAGTGGAAAACTCCTCAAAAGCAGTATGTATACAGCACATCTCTAATTGGATCTTTTCGCAAAAGTTCTTTACCTACAGAGTAACTAAGCGCCGTATCGCGATAACGATTTTCCTGTCTATCAAATTTATTGTAGACTGTTTAAGCAGTCAATTCAGACTGCGCGACAATAAATTACACATCGACCGATTTGCTCGTGTCGAAACGTTGGGAAAATCTATATTGCGCGAACATTTTGGCTAACGCCGAATTTCTGTTTCTCGGTGTTTCTTAGATCCAGTAAGTAAATAAGTACGTCATTAGAAGGAAGTCGTAACAAAAAAAAATTAAAAGGAATCATAAATAA